TCTGCGCATTCTGTGCAGCCATTTCGCTGCAGTCAGAATCAGAGGAGCCTGGAGTGTATAGAAATAGTGTATAGAAATTTGTGGACAGCTGGACAATCCCCAGCCTCTAATGTAGGGTTATGCATATTCTTGCTAACTAGCATGAGAAGGGTTTAAGTCCACAGAGCTGTATTGCTGATAGGCAGTGTTCAGACCATACAAATACTGTTGGTAGAGAGGACTCTGCGTGGTGTCATTTCCTCTCCTCTCCTGGAGAGGAAGGAGCATATATTACTTCCTGCCCCCCCTTCCACCATCATTGGATGCAGACATGTCTCTGCCTGCTGCAGTTTATATATATATATATTCAATTTTTCAGAAATATTTTGACATAAATCCAATCCAATATTTTCCAACAAATAGATGCTTGTGAAGCCGGCTATACTGTTAAATATAAGTATTTTAGCTGCATAGCTGCCTTTGCTGTGAACCAATGCATGATTATAAAGCAAGTAAATCTTATTTTTAAACTTACTGTACAAATTGTTGCCTGATTCTTTCTTAAGTGGGGTGCGAAGGGGGAAGCCAGCTTACTTAATAGCTGGACTTGCTCAAAACAAGGTTTTACAGTCTGATTCCTATGCTTTTCATTTTGCCGCCAAGGATGGGATTCTGAAACTCTGTTTAACCCACACATGTGGGTGCCTGGAGGGATAAATTGCAATCAATATATATCCTCTCCTACCCAAAGGAGTTTGACCGATATACAAATTCTGGGCTTCTTTCCAGCCAAGCCAGTCCTCAAGGAAGCTTGCAAAGAGAAAAACCAAATACCCCACTATTATTAAGCCAGCAAATATATAATGGGCAATTCAAACCTGTTGTCTGTTTATAGTACATGCCATGGAACAGAAAAGAAGTGAAAGGTGTTCAGGAGAGCATAAGGCTGCTACGTCATACTGGGAAGGAGTGTATTGAACAGAGGCGTAAGGACATGCAGGATGGAGAAGAGATCCCGTTGGATATTCTCACTCAGATACTGAAGGGTGCAGGTAGACTGTGGTCTTTTGTACTTACCACACATGAGTGTCTCCTTGTGGACCCCACACGTTCATCTTTAGCCGCACAAAGTGGTTTACAGCCCTTCGTTTCAGCCGAACATGCTATTTGCAAAAACATCTTAATTAGTCACTGTTACTACTACTACTGTGGGACGCGGGTGGTGCTGTGGGTTAAACCACAGAGCCTAGGACTTGCCGATCAGAAGGTCGGCGGTTCGAATCCCTGTGATGGGATGAGCTCCCGTTGCTCGGTCCCTGCTCCTGCCAACCTAGCAGTTCGAAAGCACGTCAAAGTGCAAGTAGATAAATAGGTACCGCTCTGGTGGGAAGGTAAACGGCGTTTCTGTGCGCTGCTCTGGTTTGCCAGAAGCAGTTTAGTCATGCTGGCCACATGACCCGGAAGCTGTACGCCGGTTCCCTCGGCCAATAAAGCGAGATGAGCGCCGCAACCCCACAGTCGGCCACGACTGGACCTAATGGTCAGGGGTCCCTTTACCTTACTACTACAGTCATACCCCAGGGTAAATGTGCTTCAAGTTAAGTATTTTTGGGTTGCGCTCCACGGTGACCCAGAAGTAACGGATCGTATTACCTCCGTGTTTCGCCACGTGCGCATGCGCAGACAGTCAAAATGACGTCACGCGCATGTGCGAAAGAGGCGAGACGACCCGCGCATGCGCAGGTTGTGTTCGCTTCAGGATGCGAATGGGACTCCGGAACAGATCCCGTTCGCATCCTGAGGTACCACTGTACTACTAGTAACTGAGTATGCAGCCTTCTTTGTAATTTCCCTTAGATGTTCATATGCAAAGGGCGGGGGGTATTTTCTCCCCATCTGTACTGCAGCTAGTAGTACAAGAAGCAATGACGTTTAATTCTAAAGAACAGAGTTTGGCTTGCTTGTTAGGGAAACTACCATAAACAGATATCATCAAAATGTATTACAGAAGGTGATCATCTGGCTGCTTCATCCTAAATCGATGGAAGTCTCCAGGTAGACTCATCAACAGCATAATGCAATAAGCTAACTTGGACTTAACTAGCTATGAAAAACCAGGTCCACTACCTTCCCGCCAACTTCTTGCTATTGTTAGAACAGTCCAGAATTTACACTTCTGTCCAGAAAGTTATGTCAGATTTTGCTCTTTGTTTTCCATTACAGCACAGGAAGAGGGCTGCAACGATGAACTGATGTTGGACAATTTTGTCACCTTCTTCATTGCAGGTTTGTAAGTCTGTTGTTCTTTAGATATAATTAAGAAGATCAGCCACCCAGAACAGACTTCTGGCGTGTTTAGCCAACACAGATAGAAATAGTGTTGAGATTAATATCCACACACAGATTTTTTTTCTGGGGCTAACTGTACCAACTGGATTCATATCTTGACGTGAATAATAATAATAATAATAATAATAATAATAATAATAATAATACCTATTACTATCCAGGGTCAGTAGCTGTTGTGCCTGACAAGTCTGTAAGAAGCAACTTTGAAACTTTGCATTGCTTCCAACCTTGGCGAACTGCATTCATGCGTCGAGGGCCGTGCTGCTTTCAGATTCACCTCTCACTCAAGTTTAGCTTTTTACCAGATGGACTGAAAGTCGGTTTTATTAGCTGGTGGAGGAAGCTGGCCAGCATTGGAGATGTGCTGGTGCAGAGATGCTTACCTAACCTCCCAGCAGGTGAGTCGTTGCTGCTTACTGGGAAGGGTGAGGTGACGATGAGATCAGCAAGCTGCAAAAGCACCAGTGGAGCCAATATGGTGCTCCTGCTGGTGGATTTGCACTGTGTTGCTCAGTCCATTGCCTTGCCCCATCTCTTCCAGGTAAGAAGCAATAGCTCACCTGCCAGGTGGTCAGGTAAGCATCTTCACTCCACCACCCCTGAGCTGCTCACACAGCAGCACACTAAACTATCACTCGGATTCCACCAGGAGACACTGTTCCATCTCCAGAAGTCACCTTTTGGAAAAAGAAAATATAATATATTTCCTAATCTCATATTTTGCTGCTTGTTTCTGTTGGAAATTAAGTTTCTGCCATTATGCGCGAGCCACGTTAATCAGGGCTTCTATCTTTTATCAGAAGACTAATTCCAATCTATAGTTTGATTCCTAACCACACTCTGTCATGTTCTGTGGTGTAGAGCGAGTGTGGTGTAGTGGTTAAGAGCGGTGTACTCGTAATCTGGTGAACTGGGTTCGCTTCCCCGCTCCTCCACAGGAGCTGGGTGACCTTGGGCTAGTCACACTTCTCTGAAGTCTCTCAGCCTCACTCACCTCACAGAGTGTTTTTTGTGGGGGAGGAAGGGAAAAGGAGATTGTTTTGCTTTGAGACTCCTTAGGGTAGTGATAAAGCAGGATATCAAATCCAAATTATTATTATTCTTTATCCTGCAGGTCACGACACCACTACTACCCAGTTAAGTTTCACCATAATGGAGCTGTCACGAAACCCTGAGGTAGTTGCAAAGTAGGTGAACTGTTTGTCTTTCCACTTGTCCATGCTGGTAGTTATAGGAAGTTGTAGCTTTTCACTTTTTAAAATATTTGAGACTTTGGAGGCCAGTTCACACAATTTTCCCATTCAGACCAGCACTCACTGCACGTGAACAAACATAATGTGAGGAAACCATGGATATAGAGTTGTGGGTGTAGAGGCGAAGTACTTAATATCTACTAAAAATCTGGGGATCTTGACAATATTGGCAAGTACTCAAGTTCAGGTGCATAATAATAATAATAGTAGTAGTAGTAAAATTTTATTTAAATCCCCCCCTCCCCAGCCGAAGCCGGGCTCAGAGCAGCTAACAACAGTAAAATAATACAGCATTCTAAAATCAATTCATTATAAAATCAGTTCAAATCAAATTGATGGCAACCATTGGGCTAGAGTTCTGTGGTGGAACAGCTCTGTCTTGCAGGCCCTGTGGAAAGATGTCAAGATGTGTGGGTAAATATATGGTCCTAAGGCATGGCCATAAGGCGTTACATAGTTGTCAGGGAATTGGAGGCAGAGAAGGGGGAGAGAATGGGGACTTACCGAGATAAGCCCCCGATAATGAGCAGCTGTTCTTCCTTGGACGAGGAAGGTGATGAAGGGCTGTTAGGAGGCAATGAATCTGAGAGGGGGGAGCCACTTCCGGGGCCCTGCCACTCTCGTAACACAGGAAGGAAGAGGGTTGGGCTCAGGAAATGGATATGCTGGGGGAAACGAAAAGCTCCTTCAGTTGAGGCAACTGACTCACCATGATGGAGACTTACATTTGAGCTCTTGTATATAGCGAGAATAAACCAATAAATCTTTGTAAATATGGGTGGATTCCTGGACTCTTATCTCTGCTAGCACCCACCAATCATTCCTGACAATAGTCTATGTGCGAATTTGTATGAATGCCCCATGTAGGCCAGCGGTTGCCAATGAAATCTTCTGATTTGTAGACTTCAGGCTGAAGTGGATGACGTCATTGGTGTGAAGAGAGACATCGCCTATGAAGATCTTGGGAAGCTCCAGTGCTTATCTCAGGTACGCTTGGAGAACAAATGCGATGAAAAATTGTATTTAAAAAAGAAAAGGAAGAAAGAGCAAAGGCACAGGTAACCCAACGCTGCTCTCAACCCTTTTGGCTCAGCAGTCACTGGTGAGATTAAGGACTCCTTCTGACGATCTGTTTATTCAGCATTTATCCAGATTTGTCTGAACAAAGCTTATGGGGCAGTTCGGTTTTTATTGAGCATTCATTCCAATTTGTTTACAGGGTGGTTCTATGCCCATGAGCATTTATCCTGAATTGCTTGCAGGGCGTTTACCTGTCTTCCTGTTAATCATTCATTCCAGACTTTCAATACATTTGTCTGTAACTTTCCAAACCAGAGGTGAGTTCCTGGTCAAAGGCAACAAGCCCACAGCTGGGCTGTCACATGGCCTCCCTGAGGAGGAGGAGCCACACCCAGGCTTGAGGGTCAGTGCCCTGAAGGCTGTAACTTGCACTGACCTCTCCCCATCCTCAGCCTCCCATCCCATCCATTTTTCCTTTCCTGCCCTGGCAACTGGCATCAGAAGGAGCAGGGCAGTGTCAGGAAGCCAGCCCGCCATAGCACCCACAACCTGAGAGGTGCCGGAGCCATACTCTGGCTGGGAAAAAAAACCCCTGGTTTGAAATGCAGATGAGCAACCCTGGCTGCAGTCGTGCAAAAGGCATTTCTTCCAGTTCTCAAGAATTATAAGAGGCTTTTCTTACTGGTGGGGAACTAAGGCTAAGGGAAATATATTTGCTGAAAACCATCAAGCAGGTTTGAGCATGAGCTGGAGACGAAACTCAAAAGTGTTTGTTTTCCAGCTGAAAGCCCACCCTTCCTATCTCTCAAATCACCGTGGCTGTTAAGTAAAGAAGTCCCTTTACCAGCATTGTGGAATTGTGGCTCAAGCTGTTGTTATTATCCCAGGTTCTCAAGGAAGCCTTGCGCTTATACTCTCCGGTTCCCACTGTTCCTCGCTGGACAAGGAAGGAAACCGTCTTTGAAGGAGTCAAAATTCCAGCAAACACAACTCTGATGGTGAGTCTGTCGAATGGACTGCAGTGAATGGTTCTCTCAAAAATATTGGCCTTCAGCACCAAACCTCCCAGATCCCCCGATGACATGTCTGCATTAATTTTTGTTTAAGTAAATCTGGGGCAGCGTTATGTGCCATAGTTATGTGGGAAGAATGCAAGGAAGCTGCAGATGTCTAGTAGAAGCAGTCGCAAAACTTAGCATGCCAGAATCTCAGCTTGAACTCCCCCCCCCTTTTATACCTGAAAAAAAGCAACTTTCAAGTCTTTACGATGCCAAAGATATGCTTAAAACTATGTGGTCCAGTGGAAATCACAGAAGCCAGAAAGCAAGTTTAAGTCTGGATGCTCTGTGCTACAAAGGATAGCAGAGAAATATGTTTAGCATCAGCTTAGCTGCAGGAGTTTCCGGAAGGTGGTGCACAAGAGAGCAAGTGTGGTGTAGTGGTTAAGAGTGGTGGACTCGTAATCTGGTGAACCGGATTCACTTCCCTGCTCCTCCACATGCAGCTGCTGGGTGACCTTGGGCCAGTCACACTTCTCTGAAGTCTCTCAGCCCCACTCACCTCACAGAGTGTTTGTTGTGGGGGAGGAAGGGAAAAGAGATGGTTAGCCGCTTTGAGACTCCTTAAAGGGAGTGAAAGGTGGGATATCAAGTCCTAACTCTTCTTCAACAAGGCACCATCCAACCACCTTAGGGACTCCACTCCAGATTTGTGTAGGGTTTAATCTTTAGCCTTTTCTTCTCCCTAAGATATCCCACAAGGCAGTGTAAGTTTAGGAGCAGGGTTTTCCTTCTCCTAGATGGGCTACCTTCCCAGGACGAGCCCCATCTGCTCCTAACTTCCCTCTACAGCAGAGATTATTATATGCGGAATCAAATCAAATGATTATAATGTATGTCAGCTACACCAATAAGATGAAACAATAACCAGCTGTATTTCTTAGTTTCTGTTATGAAGCTTTCACTCCAGCATCCGTCTTGGAACCATTCCTAAAAAAAATTAAAAAAAATTAACAGGCCTTAAGCATCTACCGTACATTGCAAATTTTCTAAAGAAACACTTTTGGCTTTAGGCCGCTAGGTGGCAACCACATAAACATATCTTTATAATAATGAATACGGTCTCAAATCCACACCAAATGTTTCATTCCAAAAAGTAATATAAAAACCCCCACTCATTTTCAACAAGTTTTCTCAAACAAGATGTTTTTCCTTGATTGGGTATAATATGTTGACTAATAAATTATGGCATGTCCCATATTCTAAAAAAACCCAAAACCCTATTCAGATAGAAGATGTGAGGATTCTTTCCCCCAGTAAACAGGTGTTGACATATCGTGTGAGATCCAAAGGACAAGGATCATTTCTGTATCCACATTGTAAACACATGTTTTCAACAAAATTAAGAGTATATTTTTCAGATTCATTCCTAATTCGTAACCTGAGATTTCTTTAATGCATTCCACCACTGAACACTGGGCATTTTGGATTTTACGGTATTTTCAAAAAATATGTTAATGTTTTTACTTACTTACTTACTTACTTAATTAATTAATTAATACACTGCCCCTCATCTGAAGACCACAGGGCGGTTTACAACATAAAAATACAAAATAAAAACACAAAATACATAAATAGTCTTGTATGTGGGTGCTTTAGTTTAGAGGTGCTCAGATGCCATTGGAGGATGAACGCAAAATCTAAGTAATTCTCTTTCAGATTCATAGATATCAGTGTTTTATCTCCAAACATTTACTTTCTGCTTTCTCCAACACACACCTGTGACTGTTTCAGCCATGTGTCAACAGCTTAACAGCACCATAAGTTCAATTTTATATTAGGGATTGAATTAAATTTAAAAACATTTCCAGCTAATACTGATATAAATGTAGTAGATGTGACTTCAGGGCGTGTGTAGGAACGGCCAGGAAGTGATAACATCATTTCATTAAAACCCGGTGATATGAGGTTGTGATGTGCAGCTGCCTCTTGCTGTGAATGACAAATGTTTTTGCAGCTTGCTTTGCATTTACAAGTGCAAATGACTGTCTCCTCTCTTGCCAGTTTAGTCAATATGTCATGGGACGCATGAAAAGGTTTTTCAAAGACCCGCTTATCTTCAATCCTGACCGGTTTAGCAAAGACCAAACAATGTAAGTTTCTGTTGCTGCATTTTTGGGGAAATTGTGCTAAACGTTCTTTCATTTGTTTGCTTTGGGCTGTATCCAACAGATGCACCCTGTCAGTTCAAGGAATTTCACTTTTTTGCAGTGGGACTAGGTTTAGTGGATGCACAGAGGGAGAAGAAGCAGGGAAAGTTGGTTGGTACAATTAGAAATCCTTGTTTTGAGAGGGCACAGTATTTAATGCTATGCTGGATACAACTCTCTAATACAATACATATTGTCTGGTCAATGTTAGAAACTTGGTGAATGTTGACATTTACTGGTAATTCTTAGGATTTTAGGAGACACGCTGGAAAATGTCAAAACAAATTGTAACATGAAGCTCATTTGAATGGCGTGTATGGATAACATATTGGGAATACAAATGAGTTTGGAACATGCAGTTGAAATGGCCAGTTGGCATTAAATTTACTCCTAAATTGAAAGGTATTTTTTGACATTTCCTCCTGGATTTTTTAATTCAGAGAATTACCAGCAAACGTCAATATTCACATAATTCTGATGCTATGATAATTTGGTTCTCAGAATAAAAATTGACTGCTTTTTTACTTTAACGGTAGCTTGGTCTGCAGAAATTAACATGTGGAGCTTTTCACAACATAGAGTATTATCAATCGGTCTCTGTGTTAAGCTACTTTTAAGCACACAGGAGCCCAAGACGCTGCCTGGGCAAGACACATACTGTAGGAATACAGTCATACCTCAGGTTGAAGTAGCTTCGGGATGAGTATTTTCGAGTTGCGCTCCACGGTGACCCAGAAGTAACGGAGCATGTTACTTCCGGGTTTCACCACTCGTAGATGCTCAAAATGACATCATGTGCGGAAGCGGCGAATCGCAGGTGGACGCGGGTTGCGTTCGCTTCAGGATGCGAACGCGGCTCCAGAACAGATCCCATTCGCATCCAGAGGTACCACTGTACAAGCGAATAGTAAAGAGAACCCGCACAAGCGACGCTGACACAAAACCCCACACATACACTAAGTAGAATAGAAGCATTGCCACCCCACCCCACTCACCATTCCGCCCTCCACCTCTTTCCCCCTTTTCTTCCTAATGTAACACTAACATCTCAACAAATGAAACTGATCTGTAGAAAGTGTAACTTGGAAAAAGAGACATTGCACATACTTTTGTAAACCAATAAATCTTTAATTAAAAAATGTTAAAAAAGGGGAAAGGGGGGAAAAAGAAATGGAAAAAGGAGGCTATAAATATGATTACCCTTGTCGTACCGAAAGAGTGGATCAAAACTGTAAATCAAAACTCTTAAGCAGGTAGGGTGTTCAAGGTTGCAACGAAGCCATTGCTAAGGACGCTGTCTATGCAAAACCATTTCAATAACTCTTATCTTGAGATTCGTGCATTGCAATTCTATGATTTTCTCTCTCTCTCTATTATTTTTTTAGACCATACTTTACCTACTTCCCATTTTCCCTTGGAGGTCATACCTGTATTGGGCAGCTATTTTCACAGGTAAGGCAGTGCCCATTAGGCTTTCCAAGTCTCCTCTTAAGTGGCAGCTGTCCTTTTAAAAAGCCCACCTTGGAGGTCTCTAAGTGGAGGTTAGATGACCATCTGTCATGGATGCTTTAGTACTATAGGGGGGCTGGACACGATGACCCTCGGGGTCCCTTCCAACTCTACAATATTCTGTGATTCTACCTTGCTGATCCAGGAGCCTGGGCAAAAGGACTGGTGGAACAGCAGGGTAGGGTGTGTAATAGCTTCAGAGATGGTGCCCCACAGCCCAGCCTTCCCCAGCTGTGGGTCCCCCAATATTTTATTTATTTAAAATATATAGATCTCGCTGTCATGCTCTGGGCCTCAGCAAGGCAGAACTCAGGTTTCGTTCAGAGTGAGGTTTAGGCCATGTTCACATCACACAATTAAAGTGCTATGATATCACTGTAAACATGAGCGGCTTCCCTCAAAGAAACTATAATTAGTTAAGAGTTCCTTGCCAAGAGAACTTGATTGTTAGACTATAGTTCTTTGTTATAGTTCTGTAGACTATAGTTCTTTGTGAGGGCCATAAAGGCCTCAGCAGCAGAATGATGGTTGGAAATTATATATAGATCTTTTTTAAGTCTGTATCACTTATGGGCCTGTAATTTTTATTTTTAAATGAGTCAAATAAAAACAAATCCAAACTATTAATTTTTTTCAGCGCTCTCGGTTTCTTAGTCCGCTAGATTTTTATTTCTTTATTTAATGGCTGAATTTACCGGTAATCCTGTATTTTGAACAAGCCTAGAATAAGCATTTGCACTTATCTGGAGATAGTGTTCAACTGCGTCAAAATGGCAATAGCCAGTTTACCATTCATTCATTCATTCATTGTTTTTATCACAGATGGAGGCTAAAGTGGTGATGGCCAAATTTCTCCAGAGGTTTGAATTCCAGCTGGTCCCGCCTCAGAGCTTTAAAATTATGGAGACAGCTTCGCTGAAGCCATTAGATGGCTTAGTATGCAGACTGAGACCACGGCGCCACCTTCGCTATGAAGGGGATTAAATAATCGGCAGTAGGATATTGTCATCTGCAGCTTGAATTCCTACTGAAACCCGCTTAAAAGTTCCATTTCCCGGTGGGTTGGAGGAGGAGAGAGCTCATTTTGGAGTTGGGGCCATTTTGCAATCATAGTTGATGGGTTTTTAAAAAAATTATTTAATCATTTTTTCAATACAAACAACCGCAAAAGACACTACAACAAATACCATAATAACAATAACACAATTTGACAATTCAGATTTAAATACACTGATATACCTACGACTGCAGGTATTTAACAATATTTTCCCACCTCTCTCTCCTCCCCCCACTATCATAGTTGATGTGTGTTTGTGTGTGTTTGCCTAAAGCAGGCACCCCCAACCTTCAGCCCTCCAGATGTTTTGAACTACAATTCCCATCATCCCTGACCACTGGTCCTGTTAGCTAGGGATCATGGGAGTTGTAGGCCAAAACACCTGGAGGGCCGCAGGTTGGGGATGCCTGGCCTAAAGGGTTATCTGTTGGGGGCTTTGAGGTGTTTGTCATCATAATTGACTTGTACAGGTTTGCCTATTAAGAGGTCTATGATTGTAGGGAGATATTTGTAAGACATAAGGTAAGGTCCAGTGCACTGCAGCAGTGAGAGAAGGCTGGGACGATGGGGTGTGTCCCATGCTGATTAATAATAATAATAATAATAATAATAATAATAATAATAATAATGTTATTATTTATATGCCGCCTATCTGACTGGGTTGCCCCAGCCACACTGGGCGGCTCCCAAGAAAATATTAAAAACACAATGCAACATCAGCCATTAAAAACTTCCCTAAACAGGGCTGCCTTCAGATGTCTCCCAAAAGTCAAATAGTTGTTTATCTGTTTGGCATCTGATGGGAGGGTGTTCCGCAGGGAGGGTGCCACTGCCAAGAAGGCCCTCTGCCTGGTTCCCTGTAGCTTCACTTTTCGCAGTGAGGGAACCACCAGAAGGACCTCAAAGTGGACCTCAGTGTCCGGGCTGAATGATGGAGGTGGAGACACTCCTTCAGGTACACTGGGCTGAGGCCGTTTAGGGCTTTAAAGCCAGCACCAGGACTTTGGATTGTGCTTGGAAATGTACTAGGAGCCAATGTAGATCCTTTAGGACCAGTGATTGGCTGAGGGTGAAGTGTGACAGAACAGGTTGGGGGGGGACAGGAAAAGGGGAGTTGAGTTTTGGAGGGAGGAGGCTAGGTCTGCATGAGGAATAGAGTTATAAACCACAAAATATCCAAGCACTGTTATGGAAAGCAAAACATGTAAGAATGTGTCATAACCAGCTTTTTACTATAATAATAAAGTTTTGTTTGTTCAAACCATGTCTCATATTTGGCCAAAGTATTCATGTCTATATGGTGGCAGCAAAATACCGATACGTAGTTAGAAGATGGATCAAGGTATTAAAGCCTAGAGCAGGCTTCCTCAACCTCCGGATGTTTTTGGCCTACAACTCCCATGATCCCTAGCTAGCAGGATCAGTGCTCAGGGATGATGGAAATTGTAATCTCAAAACATCTGGAGGGCCGAGGTTGAGGAAGCCTGGCCTAGAGCTTAGAACTCCATAAGGCAAATTGGAACCCGGGGCAGGGGATCAGAGAACCTTTACCAAGGAAAAGTGATTTTTTATTTAAATTTAGGTATCTTCTTACTCCTAAATGGTAGGCTTGGACAGGGGAGGGTACATCAGGCTTCCTGATGATAGTGGCGCTGTGCAATGCCACATCTAAAAATTGACAACCCATGTGGATTATTATTATTGCAAATTCATGTGGAAATGTTGAGAACTGAATTTAAGGTCAGAAACATGGGTCGAGAAATATAATTATGGCATGCTAATCACAGTGGCTTTTACATTTTTAAGTCACATACAACCACCATATAAAGGCTTCTGAATTAAAACTCAGTGGCTGCATTTCATCTTATAAGGTTAAAACAAAAAAAAATTCCTTCCAGTAGCACCTTAAAGACCAACTAAGTTAGTTCTTGGTATGCGCTTTCGTGTGCATGCATACTTCTTCAGATACACTGAAACAGAAGTTGCCAGATCCTTCTATATAGTGAGAAGGTGGGGAGGGGTATTACTCAGAAGGGTGGTGGGAATGGGTGATTGGCAGATAGCTGTGATGAGCCTGTTGACGACTCTTAACGACTGCAATAGGTCTTACAGGAAAAAGCAAGGGGTGAGAAGGTGAAAAATTCACCCCTTGCTTCTGTTTCAGTGTATCTGAAGAAGTGTGCATGCACACGAAAGCTCATACCAAGAACTAACTTAGTTGGTCTTTAAGGTGCTACTGGAAGGAATTTTTTTTGTTTTGACTATGGCAGACCAACACGGCTACCTATCTTATAAGGTTGTTACTGAACAAGTGCTGAACGGAACTCCTGGAACTTTCCACTGCAGATACTTTTACTGCTAAAGAAGCAATCTGCTCTCTCTCTCTCTCTGCCATGTGATCAAAGCTTCCAAGAAACCTTTCTCTGATTTCAGCTAGACCTCAGAAAGCATCCAGAAATGCAGCCCAGACCACAGTTTTAAGAACCTACCCTAGTGATTCCATGCTTATGAACACAACAGTTTCTTTCCATGGTTTACTGTATACAGTATTGTGAATGAATCATTCAGCTCCATTTTTTTCCTTCTGTGCACATGTGGCATGTTCTATGAAGGAGACCACTAGCCCATTAGGCTCTGCACTGGCAGTGGGGCTCCAGGGTTTCAGGCAGGAGACATTCCCAGCCCTACGTAGAGACCCCTGGAATCGAACCCAGGAACCTGCATAGAAGCAGATACTAAACTACTATGCCCTTCCCCGCATTGATTTCAGGGCCTCACCTATCGGATTTCAGCAGTCCTTGCCCCACTCCAAAATAAGCTGGCCCTGAAATTCCCTGCCCAAATTCTGATGCCTGGATAGGAAGTTAGCTTGGTTAGAGCGTGATGCTGTTAACCCCGAGGGATGAAGTTCGATCCCCCCCGCCTATTCCTGCGTTGCAGCGGGGTTGGACTAGATGATGCTCAGGGATCCCTTCCAACTCCACCATTCTAGGAGAATCCCTCTGTTTTCTTCGCCTCCCGATTGGAGAAATTAGGCTCTCCAGGGGAGCTAGGCGGCGACTTGCTGCAGCAGACACGCCTCTGGGGAGGAACCTGACCCGGTTTCCCATGCGAGGCAGAATCGAAACGCGGCACTGGACGGTCGCCTGTTCGGAGGCTGGGTCATGCGCTGCAGCCCGGGCTCCGCTCTGCCGGCGAGGTCCGGGGCGCTCCTCGCGCTCCTGGCCGCCCCTGCGCTGCTCGTTTTGGCCCTCCTTGTCTCGGGCCCTTGGCGGCTGCTGGACTCCCCAATGCCCCCGAGCCTGATGCGGGAGCTGGAGCAGCGGGAGGCGGATCTGCGGCGCTTGGCTGCGTCCGCCCGGGCTGCTTGCGCCTTTTCTCCCGCCGCGGGCGCGTTGGGTTGCGCAGAGCTGAGCGGCGCGACGGGCGTGCGCTTGGTGGGCTCCGGGATTACCAAGCTGGTGCAGAGGGCTGTCCTGCCCCGCGGAGGAGGCCACGAGGTCGCCCTGAAGTCCGTGCACCCGGCCGGCCGCGACGTGAGCCTCTGCGCGCAACGCTACGCGCACCCGAGCGGCTGCTACCGCCTGGCCGCTTACAAGCTGCTCAAGGAGATGGTTCTGTTGCAGAGCTTGGAGCATCCCGGCGTCGTCAAGGCACGTAGCACCGGTCTGGGGCAGCCAGAGGAAGGCCGACCTCATCGGGAACTCCGCAGGATTGAGTAATCTGGGGGAGTAACCCGGTGCGCGCCTTCGTGGTGCGATCCTATCTTGTTAGGATTGCAACCCGCATTGCAAGGGGTTGGATTAGTTGACCCTCGGGGTCCCTTCCAATTTGTGATTCTATGCTATGAATCTTCACTGAAATCAGTTTGCGCTGGGATTAAGGCTGCTTTCCTGGGCGCACTTTCCGGCGAGGAAGCCCCACTGAGCAGAATGGAAACTGCTTCTGAGGAAGCGTATAGTAGATTGTGGCAGGGGCCGGGCTTAACCCTACGTGGAAATCGTACTTTAAACTCCCCACCGCAGTAATATCATTTGGGGGGGGTGACCTGTGATAACTCACTGGGAAGGAAACGTCAGTCTCTGCATGCTTAACTGTACTCAGCTTTTCATTATTGATATTATTATTATCCACGTGGCCCAGGACTTGAACCGTCACGCTAAGAAATGTTATGGGATTTGGTACTCTTCTGGCCTCAAACTTAACTGCACAATCCTTGGCATGTTTACTCGGATGCACTTGCCATTCTGTTCAATGGGTAAAGGTAAAGGGACCCCTGACCATTAGGTCCAGTTGTGACCGACTCTGGGGTTGCGGCACTCATCTCGCTTTATTGGCCGAGGGAGCCAGCGTACAGCATCCGGGTCATGTGGCCAGCATGACAAAGCTGCTTCTGGTGAACCAGAGCAGCGCACGGAAACGCCGTTTACCTTCCCGCCAGAGCGGTACCTATTTATCTACTTGCACTTTGACGTGTTTTCGAACTGCTAGGTTGGCAGGAGCAGGGACCGAGTAAAAGAAGCTCACCCTGTCGCGGGGATTTGAACCGCCGACCTTCTGATCGGCAAGCCCTAGGCTCTGTGGTTTAACCCACAGCGCCACCCACGTACCTAAGTGTCTGTTCAATGGGGCTTACTCGCAAATTTCCAGGCAGCAAATCCCAAGTTCTTTGCATCTTACTTCCAAGGATTGTAGCTTGAATACATGTGTTCAATCATATTTTGCTGCAATGGGTTGCAGTGGCGTAGCGTGGGTTGTCAGCACCCGGGGCAAGGCAAGTAATTTGTGCCCCCTAACCCGTGGATTTGCGCCCCCTAACCCGTGGATTTGCCCTAACCCCAGATGTTGCGCCCGGTGCGGCCAGCCCCCCCTGCACCCCCCACGCTACGCCACTGATGGGTTGCCTATTTCTGCATTTATTTATTTATTTATTTATTTATTTATTATGTATTATTATGTATGTGGTTCATACACCAGATTTGTCTCCCAAGGGTCTCAATGTGGTGTACATGACTCTCCTCCCCATTTCATGTCATCCTCACAACTATCCTATGAGGTAGGTTAGGCCAGTGTTTCCCAACCTTGGGTACCCAGCCGTTTTTTTGGACTACAACTCCCATCATCCCTAGCTAGCAAGACCAGCAGTCATGGATGATGGGAGCTGGAGACCAAAGTTTGGGAAATATTTGGTTAGGCTAAGAGTTGGTGACCGGCTCAAGGTGAGCTTCTTGGCTTGAGTGACGATTCGAACCCTGCTTCTCCCAGGTCCCAGTCCAACACTCTTTTACCATTACACCTTTATATACTTTTTTTAAAAAATGTGTTTAATTAGAAGAAGTGGTTTTTGTTTTTGTTGCTTTCCTCTAAGCCAGGCATGGCCAAACTTGGCCCTCCAGCTGTTTTGGGACTACAACTACCATCATCCCTAGCTAACAGGACCAGTGTTCAGGGATGATGGGAATTGTAGTCCCAAAGCAGCTGGAGGGCCAAGTTTGGCACCACTGCTCTAAGCAAAAGCGATTGCGACCGCAGTCTAAGATGATGTAATTCCAAGTATTTCTGCCAGCTGAGTTTTGGAGTTGTTAAGTAGCGTTTCTCCCATCAAAGCACCTATACTGGCTTCAGCTGCTGTTGAAGGGTGTGTTCTCTCTTTTAAGTGAGATAAGCCTGTGATAATTGCTTATGGAGGTTATGAAGACTATGTTGCCTCCTGTGATCTGCCGCTTCCCTTGTTCCTCCTTAGTGCTCCACTTCCTGGTTGTTTCTTTGCCAATTTGTACTTTATTAAAGAGGAACAAACCTTCCCATGATTACTGTCTTGAAATGTCTAGATTGCCATTTCTTCGGGGCCACTTTCCTCTTTCTCCCGGGGTAAGTAGAAGGCAGATCTGGATCTGCAACAGATCTCTGTGTGCATTGGGAGTAGATCACCAAAGCACTGACTCCTAATAGTTGATATAATGTTGTTCACTGCAACTTATGCTCTTGTGCGGAGTTGACAGAGGAAAACCCACAGTGGTTCCCAAGAAAAGAACATTGGTCTAATAATGAAACTGGTAACGCGTTTTGTTAGGTGAGCATGATTTGAAGGCCCCGATTTTATTTTCTTAGAATACAACACAATAAGAAATAATGAAATGCAATATGAGAAGTTAAAAGAAGCAATGGAAACACAAATAAAAATCAAGAGGAATATTTAATGTTCTGCAACCACCATTCGTAGCGGCTGCTGTTCTTCACAGACGCACCATTGACCACACCACCAAATGACGCTCACCACTCGTGGTCCATGGACCACAGTTTGGGAACACCTTTTTTATATTCTTCAAACCTTAGTACTAGTAGCCAGCTTACGGAACTCAGTTGATGATCACTAGCTTCAATCCTAAACCCATTTACCTGGGAATAAGCCCCAATGAATTCAGTGAGGTGCACTTCCCAGTAGACTTGGTTAGGCTTGCAGCCTTAAATGGTGTTGTGTATTCCTCCTACCTCTGCCCAAAGAGATATTTGCCTAAAAGAAAGGGTGGGGACAGGGAAACTCTGCAGGCTTGGGGGGGGTGATGGGAAATGTTTAATCACAAACATACCTTAGATAAGTGAAGCTCTTACATCTGCATCATGTAAACTCTTTCTTGGTTCAATTATTGTTAATGACCTGACAGAGCTCATTAGGGGGCGGGGAGGGAAAAGCCATGGAAAAGGTACCTCTCTGGAATTGAAATTACTCTTGGCTAGGTTAATGGTAAATAAACATCAATGGGAATGCACTATTCTTTGGGCGGTAATAAACATTCAACTTCAAAATGCAGACTAATGAATGTTATGGTTTCCTATCCAGTACTATCAGCATGCTTGAAACCACAACCACATAGGAATATTCCCACTGTGGAATCTCCTAAGACCTGTTGAGGGTGTCCCTCTACCCCTCTGCAAAGATCTGAATTCCCCCGTTCTGCAAAACACACAGAGATCTTCTCTTTCATCCAGCTGATTCCAGCATTTACATCTATAGTAACACGGCAATCTGTGCATTTCCTCTTTTGACAGTTGCGTGGTCAGTGCTATGATCCTAGCTTAGTTCCTGAAATGAAGGTGGTCACCGTTTTGGAGTTGGGTGTTCCCCTGGAGATGATTCAACTTCTGCAGACCCCCTGGGAGGAGAGATTTAAAGTAAGAAAACAAAAACAAGGAGAGCTCATTTCATTCAAAGACCCTAGGACTCTGGTTGAGGGCAGATGGGACTGATACTGATCATCTTCTCTGTTTGCTGATGAAAAGTCTTTCGAATAAACTTGCTCCGGTTGTTGTTTTTTTAATTGCAATTCACCTGTATCCCACATCACTAATGATGGTCTTTAAAAGTCTCAAATAGTTTGATAAAATGAACCTAGGAACGGCTGTTTGACCTTAAACTATAATCCAAGAAAATGACCTTCACCCAGGTTTGTTATAAAACGAACCCTCCCCTCACTGACCAGAGTAAAAGTGTCCTTTTACTCCTTATAGGAAGCTGCAGTGTGTGGACTATTTGTCCATTTAGCTTCAGTATTACCTACTCTGACTGGCAACAGCTCTCCAGGATCTTGGGCAGAGACATTATGCAGAATAAGGTGGGGGAAGAAGAAGAGGGGGAGAGAGAAGGGGGAGGGGGGTTGTTGGGGTGGTAATATTTAATATGTTTGTGGGGGTTTATGCCAGTGTCACTTGAGTAGGTTCTCTGTTCATTTATGTTATATGTATATGTATATACACACATACACAAATAATAATAATAACAACAACAACAACAATAATAAATTTTATTTATACCCCGCCAGAGCTGGGCTCTAGGCGGCTGACACCAATAAAATCACAGTAAAAACATAATGGGGGGCACTCAATTTAAAATACAGGTTAAAACGCAGTCTCATTTTAAAAGTAGCCGATAGATCAAGACCATAAGGGGAGGGAAACAGAAGGGTCAGACTGAGTCCAAACCAAAGGCCAGGCGGAACAGCTCTGTCTTGCAGGCCCTGCGGAAAGATGTCAAGTCCCGCAGGGCCCTAGTCTCTTGCGACAGAGCATTCCACCAAGTAGGGGCCAGTACTGAAAAGGCCCTGGCCCTTAGTTGAGACCAATCTAACCCCTTGCAACCTGGGACCTCCAAAATGTTGTCATTTGTGGACCTTAAGGTCCTCCGCGGGGCATACCAGGAGAGGTATGCATACATCTTTCTTGGTAGTGAGAAAGGTTGGGGGGTAGGGCATGGTTGGGAATCCTTAGTTGGCTGCAGTGTTTGTGGGGTCTGGTGTCATGACCATCAGGCCATCTACAAAGAGCCCTGATTTATAGGTTTTGCCTTTTATTACCACTCCCTTGAAGTCAGGGGCTGCCCGGATTCGGATTGCTAGGGGTTCAAGGGCCAGGATGTACAGAAAGGGGGAAGAGTGGGCACCCTTGTTTTGTGCCTCTTCGTATTGCTGTGGTATTAGAGTCCATACCATTGACCCTACATTTTGCTGAAGCTTGGGAGTAAATTTGTTTAAGGGTTTGTAGGAAGTCTGGGCCAAATTCCATGTTCGTTAATACTACTAAGAGGAATTCCCATTCTAAACAATCAAAGGCTTTAAGGGTGTCTAGGGACATAATCGTCAGTGGGAGTTTGGTTGTTTTTGCTGTGTTCGATCAGGACTCAGTGATTTCCTGATGTGGCCAGGGAGATAAAGGTAAAGGGACCCCTGACCATTAGGTCCAGTCGTGACCGACTCTGGGGTTGCGGCGCTCATCTCGCTTTATTGGCCGAGGGAGCCGGTGTACAGCTTCCGGGTCATGTGGCGAACCAGAGCAGAGCACGGAAATGCCGTTTACCTTCCCGCTGGAGCAGTACCTATTTATCTACTTGCACTTTGATGTGCTTTCGAACTGCTAGGTTGGCAGGAGCTGGGACTGAGCAACAGGAGCTCACGCCGTTGGGGGGATTCGAACTGCCGACCTTCTGATTTGCAAGTCCTAGGCTCTGTGGTTTAACCCACAGCACCACCCGCATCCCTAAGGAGATAGATTTTATGAAATAAATAATGTTAGCCATCCCTTTTCCATTTATTTGGATGCTCCCAACCGATAAAAGTGTATTCACCGTCTCTTTCAGCTTTGCCTGGAGCTGGCTGAGCTGCTCCATTACTTGGCCAAGTCTCCTCTGGGTTCCCTGGCCCTCCTGGATTTCCAGCCCAGGCAGTTTGTCATGGTGAACGGGGTCCTCAAAGTCGCAGACCTGGATGACGTGAGCACTGAGGAGTTGTCCTGCGAAGGGCATGGGGACTGCACCCTGGAATTCCCCACTAAAAGCTTCTCTCTCAGGTGTTCTGCGCAGGGGAAGTGCGAAGGAATAAATGAGAAAAGGAACCTCTTCAATGCTTACCGGTACGTTGGGTGATTTATTTTTAAATGCCCCCCCCCGAACCAGCATCCTGAATTTCACAGTGCTGCTATGTTTTAATGATTGTGTGATTTGTGCCTTCTTTTTATTGAGAATCCACTTTGGACAACTCCTTTTTGGAGGCAAAAAGTTAGGGTTAATAGCATTTAATTGCATGTGTAATATAATTATTTAACCGTTAAAGCATGACTCGAACGAAAGAGCTGTATCCACATGTACCAAAGTTTCTGTGTGCTCATCAAGGCATCCCCCAACTTCCCACCCAATTGGTTGGGAATCTCCTAGGGACTTCACAGCCTCTTTCTCCCATGACTGCCTTTACCAGGAAGCAACATGCAGAGGTTGCATCAGGCAGCGGAGTCTAGAAATGCCACTTTCATTCATAAGAATGAGTGAGACAAAAGAGAATAAAAGGCTACGCTCTCAATAAGGCTTGCTTCCAAGTTTAAAGTAGGTGGAGCTCACAACCTCATAGGCCACATGGGGAAGCCTATGTTGGCATGCACCCAAGGAAACGGGGGCCATTGGCAGTCCTCCAGCTGGCTCCAGCCCACTGGCCGGTGTGCCAGACGAACTCCGGTCCTTGGTGCAGCATAAATCTGCGGCCCAGGATTTAGAAGACTGAGCACGCTATTCAGCAGAGAAAACGCAAACAGAAGTGGCACGAGAGGCTGTGTGAGCATATTTACAAGCAGGTTTATTCAGCGTAGATCAGGACAAAAGGAAACATGTCTGATCTCCTTCGTATCCAAAGCAAAACAGCAAAGCTATACACAAACGGAAGTTCCCAGCATACTGTGCTGGAATGTAAACAGACATGTGACATGCAACAATTCCACACGTCTGTCCCTTACGGTGGAACGAAATTCTCAACAGCCTAGTGGACCTAATGGAAGTTCCCTATGCCTGCCATAGCTCTTCCGTGTTACTACACTGTGTATCTGCATCCATCTCCCCAGACAGGGTACAATTGGCAGAGGCTAATGTTGTCTAATTCTGCTGGAAGAGGGCATGTGCTAGTCAGAAGCTTCATAAACGGCCTCAGTCCTGTATACCTGAAGGAGTGTCTCCACCCCCATCATTCAGCCTGGACACTGAGATCCAGCGCCAAGGGCTTTCTGGCAGTTCCCTCATTGCGAGAAGTGAGGTTACAGGGAACCAGACAGAGGGCCTTCTCGGTAGTGGCCCCTGCCCTGTGGAAGATGTGAAGGAATTAAGCAGCTATCTTATCTTTAAAAGACATCTGAAGGCAGCCCTGTTTAGGGAAGTTCTTAATATTTAATGCTGTATTGTTTTTAACACTCGATTGGAAGCCACCCATTGTGGCTGGGGAAACTCAGCCAGATGGGCGGGATATAAATAATAAATTATTATTATTATTATATGGCCAGCACCTGAGAAGCAGTGTAAATCTGAAGAGCAGATTTCAGCAGATTAGAAGGGAAGGCGAACCTTAAGTCAATGACTAAATTTTATTAGTTAGGCAAACTGATTCTGTTCTGCCAGAGGCTAGTTCGTGTCCCACTACAGTAGCCAGATGCAGGAGAGGACGGTGATCCTGCACCTTCAATGGTTTCCATGCAAGCTGCATCTGCTGTAATTGCCTCTTCAGTGCAACTATTATATTTGCAGGGGCCTCGCCCTCTGCAACTATTAGAGGTGCATCTGGCCAGCCTAGGAATTTTTTTGCTTGCTTTCAGATCATAAACCAAGCCTTCAAAATTGGGAGACATGAGATTCAAAGCATGTAGGATTTTAACAACACATGACTCTTAATTGCCTTGTGCTGTATGGAAAATCTTTGACACAGAATTTTCAGATTTTAAAATAGATGTGTTTATTTGCAGGTATTTCTTCACTTATCTCCTGCCACATACTGCACCTTTCGTTTTGCAACCCATTCTGAAGGATATCCTGAATGCCACAGGTACATTCTAATGGGAATTGGTTTGTTGTTGTTGTTTTTTAAAAAAGTTTTAATGAAGAGCTGCTCTTAATCGCCTTCCTTCTTTAAATCATTCCCCCTCCCCTCTTCTGTAATTGTAGGTGATTTGCGATATGGAACAAATGAAACCCTGAGAGCTTTTCACAGAGTTTTGCATTTATACAAGTCTGGACTTTATCTGCAGAAAAAGCCTTCTCAATTGAAAGGTACATTATTTCACACAATAGACTCTTACAGGCTTTACATAATGGTTGGATCTCAGTGGGGGAACAGCAGTTCAGTGGGGTGCCAGCACAACTCACATTCCTTGCCTGTGGGGTGGGGTGGAGTCGCTTGGTGATTGGCATTGTCCTCTAAGAGAAGGACAGTATGTTCCGGGCTGCCTTTCTGTTGAGATGCGATTCGCAGCTGATCTGCTAGGGAAGAGCACCGAGAAAGGCACCGTTTCCTGTTTCTCCCGCTGACTGCCAAATCTGAAATATCTCCCTGTTTCCAGCTGCGTACATAATCTTATCACCTTGTCTCTTCCCCTTTCCAAGACTACATTGCCTTAAAGGGCTTCCACAGCAGGGATACAGAGGACTACAAGTGCTGGCCATCCTATCGCCACTTGGGGTGCGTGCTCTCTGTTCACAACGAAGAGGAAGCTGCCGCCATTTGCAGCTCCCATCCTCAGTGCCAACATTTCTTCATCACTCTGCAGACAACGTGGACAGGTGAGAGGAAGTGACATAATATTGCTAAGAAGCGCCAATCATCTCCCCCACCCCCCACCCCAACTTCTTTTAAAAAAAGAAAAAAGAAGAAAAACGCCGTAGTTATTCTAGAACACAGGATCCAGTAACCTGTTCTAGGTGACACATTCAAGATTCACTTAAAATACAGGTAAGCTTCCTTGCAGTTCCCTTTAAGTTACCTGTTATACCTTCCTCTGTGTTCGTGCAGTTGTTCAAATTAAAGCTCTGCCAGTCCTCGTTTTTTTATTTATTTTCTAAATTTGCAGGCTGCAAATTTGATGAAAGCAGCTCACAGCAGAACAGCAGTGCTAAGCAGTGGATCATTACAGCAGCAATAAAATACTAAATAATTTAGAAACATAAAGGGGCGACTCTACAGATAACTCCATTTTAAAGCTTATATTGGGCTATTTTTTTCTTCTCGTACCTCCAATCCAGAGTTGCATCTCTTTCCATTTGTTGTCGTAATTATTTTTGATCCGGATCTTCATCGTTAAACAGCTTCTATATCTTCCAACCAGTGACAGGGCGAAGTAATCCGCTCGTTACGCATCGGTTCTTGTCTGAATGCCTCGGGGGTATTTCGAGATGAAAGAGCACTGCTCTTTTAATTACAACAATGATATTTAGGATATTCTTTTTATCTACCTATATCCCTAGACCAACAAATTTTCCCAAATGCCCTGTAATTAGCACTGATTATAGCCTTCCATTGAAGGCAGCTAGTGGGTGCGTGTGCAACCAGGCAGATATATCTTATACCATCAATTATCCTATTTTAGCTGACACATCTGCAGCTATCTAAGCTATTACCCTTAATGTGAATAATGAAGGATGCAGATTGAAGCAAACCAGCCATTGTAGTTAAGGATAGAGGGGGGAACAGTTACTGTTTGCAAGTCTCCGAAGTGTGGAATGCCCCACTCCCAATTTTACATGCCCCTACTTCTTGTTGTTGTTTAGTCATTTAGTCGCGTCTGACTCTTCGTGACCCCATGGACCAGAGCACGCCAGGCACTCCTGTCTTCCACTGCCTCCCGCAGTTTGGTCAAACTCATGCTGGTAGCTTTGAGAACACTGTCCAACCATCTCGTCCTCTATCGTCCCCTTCTCCTTGTGCCCTCCATCTTTCCCAACATCAAGGTCTTTTCCAGGGAGCCTTCTCTTCTCATGAGGTGGCCAAAGTATTGGAGTCTCAGCTTCAGGATCTGTCCTTCCAGTGAGCACTCGGGGCTGATTTCCTTCAAAATGGATAGGTTTGATCTTCTTGCAGTCCATGGGACTCTCAAGAGTCTCCTCCAGCACTATAATTCAAAAGCATCAATTCTTCGGCGATCAGCCTTCCCTACTAGCTCTTCCTTTTGGATGCCCCCCCATGCATACAGCACAAATAGCTGTGGGCAAGGAGCTTGCACAATCAGGGCTTTGGATCTTATGGAAGTATTTGCATAGAATCATAGAGTTGGATGGGACCGCAAGGGTCATCTAGTCCAACCCTCTGCAATGCAGGAATCTCGGCTCAAGCAATCCATGGCCACCCAACCTCTGCTTACAAACCTCCAAGAGAGTCTACCACCTACCAAGAGAGACCATTCCATTTCTGTTACTGTTGAAAGTTTTTTGAAATGTTTAGTCAGAATCTCCTTTCTTGTAACTTGAAGCCACTGGTTCCGGTCGTAGCCTCCATAGCAGGAGGGGGGGGGAAAGCTTGCCTCATCTTCCATGTTAAGATATTTACCTCTTTTCCAGGCTAAGCGTACCCAGCTCCTTCAACCATTCCTCATAAGGCCTGGTTTCCGGACCCTTGATCATCTTGGTTGCCCTCCTCTGCACACGTTCCAAGCACATCCTTCCCTGCAGTTGTTCGCCCTGTGCGCATGAATGCTAGGAGACGGAGAACACAGTACAGCCCTGCTCACCCATTGGGTATTACCTGGGAGTGGAACACCTGAGTATATGGATTGATTCAATTTATATCCAGCCCTTCCTCCCCCAAGGAGCCCAAGGCAACCAATATATACAATTTAAAAGCAGAAATGGAGAGGGGGAAAAAGGCATTCTAAAGCAATTACACTAAAAAAATGCTTTCACCCAATGATCTCGAGGTTGCCAGGAACAGTATTCTTTTTTTAAAAAAAATAATAAATTTTTATTAATTTTCCATAAATAAAAGAGAAAACATAATAGAAAACATAGGCAAACACCAAAAACGACTTCCCCATACCACCCCTTTTCTGCATTCACATTTCAAGATTCTCCAGCAACCCTTTCGTATTAAACTTATTTCTATTTCATAAATTTATCTTCCATAAAATAATAAAACAACTGTAGTTCTTTATCTCTTATTACCCTGGTCTTCTAATTTTCCAAATTACAACAGTTTTTAAGATAAGTTTTAAATTTGTTCCAGTCTTCATCCACCGCCTCTTTCCCCCGATCTCGGATTCTGCCAGTCATCTCTGCCAGTCCCATATAATCGATCACCTTCGTCTGCCATTCTTCCAACGTGGGTAGATCTTGTGTCTTCCAATACTTTGCTAGAAGAATTCTTGCTGCTGTTGTAGCATACATAAAAAATGTCCTATCCTTCTTTGGCACCATTTGGCCTACCATACCCAGGAGAAAGGCTTCTGGCTTTTTATTGAAGGTTCTCTTCAGAACTTTTTTAATTTCATTATAGATCATTTCCCAGAAAGCCTTAATCTTTGGGCAGGTCCACCAAAGGTGATAAAAGGTTCCCTCCGTTTCATTGCACTTCCAACACTTGTTATTGGGCAAATGATAAATCTTTGCTAACTTAGCCGGAGTCATGTACCACCTGTAGATCATTTTCATAATGTTTTCTCTTAAGGCATTGCATGCCGTAAATTTAACACCAGTGGTCCATAACTGCTCCCAGTCAGCAAACTCAATATCATGCCCTATATCCTGTGCCCATTTAATCATACTAGATTTCACCATTTCATCTTGAGTATTCCATTTCAGCAGCAAGTTATACATTCTTGACAAGTTTTTAGTATTGGGTTCTAACAGTTCTGTTTCTAGTTTTGACTTCTCCACTTGGAAGCCTTTCTTTCTGTCCTGTTTAAATATTTCATTAATCTGTCGATAATGTAACCAATCTCTCACCTTAAACTTCAGATTCTCGAAACTCTGCAATTTTACTTTTTCACCATCTTGTTCTATCATTTCAAAATATTTAGGCCAATTAGAACCCATATTCAGTTTTTTCACCTCATTTGCCTCCATTGGTGACAGCCACCTAGGGGTTTTGCTTTCAAACAAATCTTTATACCTTATCCAGACATTATACAGAGCTTTCCTCACCATATGGTTCTTAAAGCCTTTGTGTACTTTTACCTTGTCATACCATATATATGCATGCCAACCAAATCTATTATCAAACCCTTCCAAATCCAGAATGTCTGTATTCTCGAGGAGCAGCCAGTCTTTCAGCCAGCAAAACGCTGCTGATTCATAGTAAAGTCTTAAGTCCGGCAGGGCAAAACCTCCTCTATCTTTTGCATCTGTTAATGTCTTAAATTTTATTCTTGGCTTTTTGCCCTGCCAAACAAATTTCGATATGTCTTTCTGCCACCTCTTGAAACAGTCCATCTTGTCTATTATTTGTAATGTCTGAAACAGGAATAACATTCTAGGCAATACATTCATTTTAATAACAGCAATTCTGCCTAACAAGGAAAGTTTCAGCCTTGACCATATGTCTAAATCTTTCTTAACTTCTGTCCAACATTTATCATAATTGTCCTTAAATAAGTTCACATTTTTCGCTGTCAAGTTCACCCCCAAGTACTTCACCTTTTTTGCTATCTCCAAACCTGTTTCATTCTGAAATGTCTCTTTCTCCTCATTTGTTAAGTTTTTCTCCAGCACTTTAGTTTTTTGTTTATTCAGTTTAAATCCTGCAACCTGACCAAATGTCTCAATCAATTCTAAAACTCTCTTTGTACTGGTGTTTGGCTGCTGTAAAGTCAGAACTAGGTCATCTGCAAATGCCCTCAGTTTGTACTCTTTCGTTCCGACCTGAATTCCTTTAACCAGCTGATCCTTTCTAATCATATTTAACAGAACTTCCAGGACCAGTATAAAAAGTAGAGGGCCAGGAACAGTATTCTTCAGCCACCAAATTACTGGGAAAACAGGAGTGTTTTCAAACTCCTCTTGAAAGTTAATAATGATGGAGACAGTGCATTTCATCATGGTGGGCATTCCACAACTAGGGAAACACCGCTGCGAAGGCTTTCAGCACCACCAACAAGACCTCGCCTGCTGAATGTAGGGTCTGAGATGGATGGGCTTGCTGGTCGGAAGGTCGGCATTTCGAATCCCCTTGACGGGGTGAGCTCCAGTTGCTTGGTCCCAGTTCCTGCCCACCTAGCAATTTGAAAGCACGTCAGAGTGCAAGTAGATAAATAGGTACCGCTCCGGTGGGAAGGTAAACGGCGTTTCCATGCGCTGCTCTGGTTAGCCAGAAGCGGCTTAGTCATGCTGGCCACATGACCCAAAAGCTGTTTGCGGACAAACACTGGCTCCCTCGGCCTATAGAGCGAGATGAGCGCCGCAACCCCAGAGTTGTCCATGACTGGACCTAATGGTCAGGGGTACCTTTACCTTTATATACCTTTATGTCAGTATTTGTATCTTGAATTGGTCCCAATAGTTCACTGACAGCCAGTTCAGTGCTTTCAGAGCTATAGTCCTATCAGGCTGCACCACTCAGCAAGCTAACAGGTGCATTCTATGCTAACTATAGATAGCTGCCACTTTGAGATTTGTCACTGATGGTGGTGATCTATACAGTCAATATTGAGCACACCTTGGTGAGGACAGGTTCCAGTCACCATGGGAGAGGATTGCAGCGAATGCAACATGGACATTGGGTTGTAATAGTAGAGGCTGCGGGAGATGTTGCAGGAATTCCTTACATCTTAGATTGGACATCTTGTTTTCTCTTTCTGCAGTGCTTTTACATTTCCAGTGTTATCATTTAACCTCAGCCCGTGTTGCAACTTTTACAGATCTTGATTTGTTCTCCCACCCCCCTGCCCCCTCTCAAAATTATTTTCTCCTTCAGGAAGGCCACTTGCTTTGTTTCGAAGCAACTTGACCGAATTAATTCCAGGCGGCGACAGAGTGGTTTATGTTAAGCGATCTGCAGCGTCAAAGACAAGCCTCTTACAAGGAGACTGGGAGAATACGGAGCTCTCGGACAAGGAATAATCACTGGGACTAACTTCATCCACTCAAGAGTTGATGATGTGCTTCATTTCTGCTTCGCGATCTTTCTCTGGGACTTCTCAAGTTAATGGGTGGCGTTTGAATGATCAAAGCAAACCTTCCTTTTTCATAAGATGGAATAACCTGGACAAGTTGTTTACATGATCCCAGGCACAATGGTCAGAAATGTGCACAACTTGATGTAAAGCACCACTAAAGCCTTATAATGGATTGGCAGCAGCTGTGTCAGCCAAGCAGTAGTTGTTACCATGAAATTACCTTGTTGTGCCAGCTCTATGTGGTTGTATCAGTCCAGCTGGGAACAGGCATAGATGGAAGCAGGCTGTTATGCAAACAGTTCCTGTCCCAGATAACAGTTTTTGTTCCCAACAGACCTGCAAGTAGATGGTCTCCTCTGAAATGTCTGATCAGCACTGTTCAGCTCTTTTAGGTTTCCTGGCTGCCATCTTCTTTTGGATGTAGGGATCATTGCAGACTCAGGGTGTGTCCAAGTGTCTTAAAGTTTATTTATAAGTACACAGGTCCACCTAGGCTCAAACACTCCCAGCAGCAAATTCTACTGTTTCACAACAGCTCTCCTGAGAGAAAGCTCAACTCCCAGTGCTTTCCAGAACTCCAAAGTCCGCAAAATTCTCCCTGTCTTCCTCTCCATCTGAAATTCCTAAATCTAGTGTGTCCTTTTTCGCGGACACACATATTCAGATCTAGATTACATCAAGGGTAGGTATGCCTTCTGCCAAGATGTCTGTACCCTGACATTCTTGACTAGTTATGAGCTATTGATCTCTTAATTTCCCTGGCAAGAAATGCCTGTCTTAAAGGAACATTACAGTAGCCTTTGTGACTCCATTAACTTCCCAACACATGAAAACACACCCCTTTCTTAAATACAACAATATATCGGACAAATGATTGTTTCACTATAGCCAGTAAAGAGGAAAGAAAAAGGGATACGTATTTCATTTTTGGATACAGAGTCTTTGTTGGTGGTTTTGGTTTGATGTATAGCTTTTATTTTTAAGTATCAACCTTGGAGGTTTTTTCAGTGTTACTTTCAGTGAAAGAAATCCTGCTGAGCAAAATGTTCAAACTAATTATGTATAAAAAGCATGTGTTATATAAAGGGATTGCTTTTTTCTTCCCTCTGAAAACAGATTGCAGTTCATTTCTTTTTTAATGGTTATCATGTCTTATGTTAAAAAGCTACTATGAAGTGTTGGCCAAAAGCCTATCCTCACAAGTTATTGGCTGACTTGCCATGATGTCATGGAATGTCCATGAACATTCTGACTTCTTAAGAAAGAAATCAGGTCTGTTTCACTTGTTAGCATCTCAAGTCAGGGATTTGTACATACTATCTACACACCAAGAATGGAATGAAGGTAGATCAGGATCATTTGGTAGAACACTAGTCTTAATTTCCCTTGGCTGCTGAAGAGCAGTCTAAAATGTGTCATGAATGCCAGAGAGCTTGGTGGCCCATATACTTGACCTGTGCAAGTCTTTGCAGGAGGTAAGCAATAATTTTGGACTCTCTGAGTAGTTTAACAATGCCATCAACAAAATGAGTCTCTACCTTAAGTAATACTACTGAAAAATGAAGAAAACTTGGGGTAGCCAGAAGAGGATCATAAGCTCTATTCAGTTCTGGCACATGAAACAATTCCCATGCTCAGATTTCTTTAATTCTAAACCCGTCCCTTTTGCACAACATTCTAGTAAAATAAAATTTTAAAAGCCTGAAGTGTATCCATCCCCTGCTGAAGTCAAAGGGACCCCCCTCTGAGTGAACATAAATAGGCTTATATTGTAAGGAAAGCAAAGTGCTTAGCTGTTGTCGGCATTGAAAGCAGCCTGAAATGATTGTGGGCATATTAGGGTGGTTGCTATGCTTTCACATGCAGAATGGTTCCTTGCAATACCTGTCAAGCGTAGGGGTGTCCATGTAGCCTTTGTAAGGTAGGTGAGACATCAGGATGCTTGCTTGGAATGAGGGGAAACTTGAACGCATCGCCATCTTCTAACCGTCCCATTTTTCAGGCAAAACGAACACTGGCAACATAGCATGAAAACACAATCAAACCATATGAGATAATGCCAGCAATGAACTACTTCATGAGAGTTTAAAGCTAAATTATAATATTACTGGAGCACGCACAAACACACTACAAAATGCAGAGAACTGGAATATAATTATCCTCCACAGCATGGTCCCACACCCAATTATATCGGCCTTGGAGCAATACTTAAAAGTATAAGTCATACAGAGTAGACCCATTGAAATCAATGGCCTTGAATGTTATGGCCAGCTTAAGACTAGCTTTCAGTGGGTTTACTGTAAGCAACGGGCTTGAGCCACATTTCAACCATACATTTAAAGCACTATGACACAGCTTTAAACCATCATGGCTTCCCTCAATGAATTCTGAGAGCTATAGTTTTATTAAGGGAGCTGAGTGTCGCAGAGCTACAGTTCCCAATGTGGTTTAACGATCAGTCCCTCTTCATAGGGGAATTGCATAGGGGAATCTGTGAGGGGGAATAGGGGGTCTCCTAGCAACCTACAGCTCCCAGAATTCTGTGGGGGAAGCCATGATTGTGGTGCCATAGTGCTTAAAGGTATGGTATGAATGTGGCCTTTGTTGTTGTTGTTCAGTCGTGTCCGACTCTTCGTGACCCCAAGGACCATGGACCAAAGCATGCCAGGCACTCCTGTCTTCCACTGCCTCCCGCAGTTTAGTCAAACTCATGATGGTAGCTTTGAGAACACTGTCCAACCATCTCGTCCTCTGCCGTCCCCTTCTCCTTGTGCCCTCCATCTTTCCCAGCATCAGGGAGTCTTGAGGATCTGTCCTTCCAGTGAGCACTCAGAGCTGATTTCCTTCAGAATGGATAGGTTTGATCTTGCATTCCATGGGACTCTCAAGAGTCTCATGTGGCCTTAGTCACAGATTTTAGTGTTTACATTGTTCTTTCAGAGCAGCGCAAGCATTTGGAGGTTTGGGGCTGAATATACACCTTACATGCCCCAATGTTCTCATCTCTACTCCTCTGTGGTGGTGAGAAAGTACAGATGTTCCTACCCAAATGGGTGGGAAAAAATCAGCTGGGGGTGATTTTGATAAGCAATAACAGCATCCACTCAAAGCTGCTTTCTCTTAGGCCCAAAATGAAATGAAACAACCCAGATGTTGTTGTTGTTTAGTTGTTTAGTTATGTCCGACTCTTCGTGACCCCATGGACCAGAGCACGCCAGGCACTCCTGTCTTCCACTGCCTCCCACAGTTTGGCCAAACTCATGCTGGTACCTTCGAGAACGCTGTCCAACCATCTCGTCCTCTGTTGTCCCCTTCTCCTTGTGCCCTCAATATTTCCCAATGGGCATCAGGGTCTTTTCCAGGGAGTCTTCTCTTCTCATGAGGTGGCCAAAGTATTGGAGCCTCAGCTTCAGGATCTGTCCTTCCAGTGAGCACTCAGGGCTGATTTCCTTCAGAATGGATAGGTTTGATCTTCTTGCAGTCCATGGGACTCTCAAGAGTCTCCTCCAGCACCATAATTCAAAAGCATCAATTTTTCAGCGATCAGCCTTCTTTATGGTCCAGCTCTCACTTCCATACATCACTACTGGGAAAACCATAGCTTTAACTATATGGACCTTTGTTGGCAAGGTGATGTCTCTGCTTTAAACCCATATGTAGGTGGCAGTTACACAATTGTGCTGTTGCAATGTCTTAATTTGGAAACCCAGAGGCAACCCCCGGTGACTTCATGGCTAAGGCAAACTTTGAACCAAGAATTTTGCAGCTCGCAGTTAAGAAAGGCCCACCTACGCTCTTTTCACAGTGGCCAGCCACTTTTAACCCCTGTATGATGCCCTAGTTGCTGTGTTGACCTGTCCGCATGACTATAGGAGTAGGGGAAACTTTTCAAGAAATCTCTAGGAATGTCTAAATTTCACTGTGGGTACTAGCTATGAAGGTTCAGCAATGCCTTTTACAGCGCTATATGCCACTGGCTGATGCTAATGCGATGAGAGAATTTGTGATAAGGCCCATACACTGCGCCAGGGTTTTGTGTGTTTATGCGTTAAGGTCGTGTCCGACTCTCGTGCCCATGGATGAGCCGCCAGGCACTCTGTCTTCCCCACTCCGCAGTTTGTCAGGCTCTGTTTGTAGCGGACCTATAACCATTCATCCTCTGTCGTCCCTTTCCTTGTGCCCTCCATGGCTTTCCAGGAGTCTTCTTCTGCATGAGATGCCAAGTATGGAGCCATCAGACTCACATCTGTCTTCCAGTGATCAGGTCTGATTTCTTAAGAAGGATCTTTATCTCTCTTGCAGTCCATGGACAAGAGTCTCGTCCAGCACCATAATCAAAGGCATCATTTATCCCTTGCCATTGTTATGCAGTTGGCCCTCACTCAAATGTCACAAGCAGAAACCAAATTACTTTTCCCTTGGAGAAGGAATCCATTAATCGGCTTTAAGCCTATTTAGCACAAGGATGGGTCCTGTAGACTTATGAATGGAAGAGGAGATATTCCTTACCAGGGCTCAGCACCTTTTGGCCTTTGTGATTCTGGCTACTAGCAGGTTATGAAGAGATAATGATTATCTTCCACACCTTTCAGTCCTGGAGATAAAGAACAACATCATGCCTTCTCAAAGAAAAAGAGAAAATGGAAGGTCAGTTCCTGGCTTCTTATCAGTCAAACTGAGGGGATGAAGCTAAGTCCTTAGGACCTAAGTCCTAAGCAAGTTTGTGAAGTAATATGTTCCACAGATTTCAGGAAATATTCCTCCATGTAAATATGTCCTGAAGGCCTCTGTTTTCGAAACTCAGTTTTGTAGTTGTTTTGCATTCAGAGGTGAACCTTATCAATATTTTCTAGACCTAACTTCATCATCACTTTTAATTTGTATACCATCTTTCTGTCTTACAATACTCAAGGCGGTTTACAAGCTGAAGAAACAAAGTGTACACCTTATAACAATTTAATGCAATACAAAAATGTAATAATAAAGCATAGCTTTAAAATAAACAACCTACATCAAATAAAGTAACATTCAACAATCATTAGAATAATATAGAATAATAACATCAACATATAAAAATTAAACAGAAATCCACTCTTAACAATTACCATAAATAATTTCTAAACTACAATCAATAAAACAACGGCAAGCCACAGTGCATAAAATCAAAATATCTATTAGCTTTTTTTTTTAAAAAAGTAAGATGTGTTGGTGCATGAGAAAACTCTTAACACCCGTGTTAGGTTTTTCTTTAGGCCAACCAAAATGTCACAAAATAGCATTCAAGTTTTTGAGTCCTGTAGATTATTAATTTAAAAAAAAATCCACCCCTTTTCCCTTTCTCCTATCTTCTCTGTCCCATCTCTTTTCAACTTCTCCCCTACTCTGTTTCCCGCAGCCTCTCATTCTTAAAACGGGAACAAACTTGTGGCCCTGCAGATAGATGATGTTGTGACTTCAGGTCCCATCAACTCCAGCTAGCGTAGCCAGTGGTCATGGGCGTGATGGGATCTGTAGTCCAACATTGGGAGGGCCACAGGTTCTCCACCATTGTCTTAAAAACAACAGCCCCTTAAGTAAGACAGTGAAAAGAGTAATGGTGGTAACCAGTGGAGTGAGCCAGTTTATGTTGGGTACCGGCCCACTGTGGGTCCCACACTATCGGACTGTAGGGAACACAGTTATTTTACGTATCACAATTAAGAAGCTAGTGGTGGTTTTGTCTTTCGAGTAACCTTGTTGCTTGGCTCCAACATGACACAACGGCTGGAGTCAGTTTTCTCTCCATGCTATCAACTTATCAGCTGTCCCAAGAGCCACCTTTGGAGATGAGTTTAGCATGGCGTTTGGAAACCACAGGGGACCAGCTGCAATGGAAACCATGTGTGGCTGGAAGAACAGTATTTCTATACAAAGTGCATCTTTGGAAAGATGTTGCTAGTAGAAGAAAAAGAACTGAGGGCTTTTAGGCAGCGGGGGCGGGGGGACGACATGTTATTAAAACCAGTTTCCAAAAAAAATTAGTTCCAGATTACAGCAACAGAGATAAAGCAACACCAGCAAACAAAATACTGTGTGCTCCAAAACCCACGGAACTCTAAA